GAGGGTCCCTCAGGCACCACTTCAGACTAAAGCACAGCGCCCCCCAAATGGACATTCCTAAGCAGGAGTCACCGTCAGCCTGTGTAGAGGGGACCGCAGCTTCCCTGCTCTCCACCCTCCCCCACTTCTTTAATATTTATGACAGCTGGTTACAGAACACAAATGTATCACTTAAGCCTTCAGCCAAGTGTTCCCTGACTCAGAGGTTTGTGCTAAGTAGACAAGCCGCCTTCTGTGGTTTTCTCCTTCATAATCTTCGCTCCCATTCAAAAGCAGGCACGTGGGGGACCTAGCTGACCTTGCTCACAGACATTTATACATCAGACACAACCTGACCAGGCAGTTGTTTTGTTCTTACAGTCAGCATCCACTTCTCAGGGGTCTACACCTGCAGGTTCAACCAACTACATAGTGAAAGGTTACAGGAAATAAAAGTTGATGGCTATATTTCTACATACACCAACTGTTCTCACTGTCTACAGAGTTAGACAACTGTTCACACAGTGCTTCACTTTCTTAGGCATAAGTAACCCAGAGATGGTATGACGCATGCAGCGGTGTGTGAATAGGTTAAGGGCTCCACCATCTTACCTAAGGGCCCTTAGTATCCTTGGGGCTACGGCATGGCAGGGTTGGTTTACAAACAAAATGGTGCGCAGACATTTAATTCCAGCGTTAGTGGCTTTGGTTGCTGCATATGTGGCTGTATGCAGGAGACAGGACAGGACTGTATCTAGGATATTCAGGTGCCACTGAAACTGCCACTTTGGCAGAATGGAGCACTCGAGCCTTTCCTATGGCTGGAAGTGGGGAAAGCTTTGAGTTCTGAACCCCCCCAACCCCATCTCTCAGCATCCTGAACACTCAAGCATTGCAAACAAAAATGAGTTTGCTAGAGGTGTGCTCTTTGTTCCAGCATAAGCCAACCACACTTGCTTAGGGGCGATACAAATAAGGTTCCCACTTAAGAAAGATGTCATATTCCACTGAAGAGGCTTGACAATGGCATTATTGCTGGGCACTGTGGCACACACCTACAATACAGGACTTCACAGGTACACTCTAGCAGGAGGACTACTGTAAGTTCAAGGCCAGATGGGCTACCAAATGAGATGATCAAACAACAACAAAAAGCCAGCACTTATTTATACAAACAGTAGCATAAGTGTTGAGCTTCTCCGTGGAAGGCAGGCTGCAGGGGTAGTAGACAAGTAGACAAGTAGACAAGTAGACAAGTCACAGTGGGAACCCATGCTCGAGAGTAAAGGAGGGACTAGAACCTGGAAAGACAAAACTGCTACTGGAAAAGGCCCCTCACAGGACCGCATTGGACTAGCACGCACAGGGCCTGGAGTAGATTCCTAACAACATACATTCAAGGGCAGGGGACGATATTGAGCTCCAGCTCCAAGTTCTACCTGCCATGGAAAGGTATCTACAATGCTCGGTTATTGGGTGAGAAGTAAATTATAAATCAGGAAACATACAAACCAAATTTGGCTATGTCACAAATATTTACAGAGGTTACCTGCGGGGGTGGTGTAGTGGTTTTCCCCTCTCCATACCTAAGCTTCCTTCATTCAGTTTCTCAGTTTACCCTCCAGGGAGCTGCAGGGGTCAAGACAACATGCTCTAACATGACTGGAGAGCTCAGACAACAGCTCCTGGAGTTTGGCATCAGAGGCCTCCTTAGGCAGAGTAAGTTCCATTACTTCTTGGTTGGCAAGACTCTAGTAGGACACAAGAAAAAGCTAGTGTCGCTAATGGATGCTCTTTTGGAGGCTGACCTTTGCTGGGCCAGCACTCAGAAGTCATCTTGCTGGGGGCAGGTCACTACGGGCTACATCACAGCAGTAAGCAGCATGACCCCAAACCCATGAGCTGAGCATGCTCCCAGCCACAGCCCTGGCCATCAGCCAACCAGCCCTGCTGGTCACGGTACTCATGATGCTGGCGGTAGAAGCGAAGAAGGCTCACTAACTTCTCAGAGATAACAGGGGTGTCTGCCTGGCTCTGTGGTGGTGGCGAGCCACATGGGAAGACAGTCACTTGGCCACCCACAAAGAGGGCTGCCTTCCCTAAGGGATGCAGACAGTTGAGGCTCAGTCCTGTTTTTCCAAAGTTCCAGGAAGTGACAATACCAGAATCTGCCATGTAGCTACCTGCCTTGGGCTTGCCAGGAACTGAGCTAGGTACTCATACACATCTCTACTTGGTCCTGTTTCACAATAAAGGACAATAACTCCGAGGACACACAGGAGCATCATCAGATGTAGAGTGGACAATGGCAATGTCCACCAGATCTGCAGAGCCCACAATGTCTCTAACTTTGCACTGTCTTCCGACTCACTGCAGCTCCACCAGTGCTGAGGTCACAGCTGCCCAGGGCCTTTCTCTCTCCTTCCAGACCTCAGTGAGGAGCTGGCTGGGGCTCTATCTTCTTCAGAGCTGCTTTCCCAAGATCCAAAGTTCACCAAGGAAAGCTCGGAAGCACAGGGTGTGTCGATTCAGTCTCAAGGCCCTGACTAGGGTGGGATGGGCACAGCCAGCATGGAGGCCCTCATTTGGGACAGCCTGCCAGAGGCTTGGCTTCAGGATGAGTCAGGGGACACTTCTGAAATTTTTTCGGACAGACGTATCCACAAAAACAAGCAAATTATGCTCAAAAGCAATGCTGAGGGGCTGGGGCTGTAGCTCAGTGGTACAGGACTCTCATCTGGCATGAGGGTTCCATCCCCAATACTGCAAAAAAACAATGTCCCAGGACGACCAAATGTGCATCCACCCTCAGTATGGCACAAAACATTGTCCCAGAACTACCAAATATAGCTCCATTCCCAGCACTGCACAGGCTGGTCACAGGAACACCAGATGTGTGTCCATCCCCAGAACAGCACACACTGGTCGCAGGACCACCGAAATGTGGGTCCATCCCCGGAATAGCACACAATGGTTGCTGCACTACCCCCCCCAGCATGTCTCTGATTTTGCAAGCAGGGCTCAAATGCATAAATTCTTTCATAATGGCTCAACCACTTTCACATTTTTTTCAGATTTAAAATACAGCAATGTAGCCTGGCATGGTGGTGCGCGTCTACAATCCCAGGACTGCAAGTTCAAGGTCAGCCTGGGCTACACAGCGAGGCCAACAAACCAACCTGTGAAGCACAGCGGCGGTACTTCTGGTGCTCACTGTAGAAGTCCAGAGCCCAGTGCACACCTGTGACCCCCACACTCACAGCATCGCAGGCAGGCGGGTCTTAAATTTGAGGCCAGCCTATGACACATAGTAGAACCCCCCATCTTGGAAAAAAGTGTGTGTGTGTGTGTGTGTGTGTGTGTGTGTGTGTGTGTGTGTGTGTGTGCAAAGGTGGTAACACACAAAAACCTCATCATCACATTAGAGAGCAGAAAAATCTTGTATAGGTCTAAGTGGCCAACTTCACTAAGGCTGGGCTCTGCCGTGGTGACCTGGCTTGTTCTCCAGGAGGAAATACAAAGTGAAAATGCATAGGACCGCCTGGCAATGCCACATTGCCAGGAGTATGACTGTGCCTGCCCAGCACTGTGGACATCTTCGGATGAGGACACCTACGAGAGGGAGCCATGAAGAGGAAGCGATTCCCAGAGTCTGCCGAGCCGCCTTCTAGAACACCCTATCGGCCCTTCGCTACTGTCTTCATGCAGCGCCCATCTTCTGCCTCACCTTTGCGTGGTCCTCTCTTTGGTCCCAAGTCCACTTTCTTCCCTGTCTTTGTCCCAGCCCCCATCTGGTCTCATTCCACTTCCCCATGGCCTTTCTGGAAGCTCTCTCCCACGCCCATGCCCGGCTACCCTGTTTACTGCTTGACTACGCCTCCACCCCACTCTGGACATCTTCTTATACAACTCTCCAGTGTAATCTGGGGGACCTAGGAGCAACCTCTCACAGTAACTTCCCTCTAGTGCCTGGCACCTCTCTGACCAGGCCCACCAAGGCTTTAACTGAGCAATGAAAAATCTTTTGCACAGGGATTCCTGTGTGTGTCTCAACAGTCCTAAGACTGGTCTTGTCTGGAGATAAGGAGCAGGAGGTGCTGCCTCACCCTGCCCCACACTGGGAATGGGGTGGGCTCTAGTTTACATAACTTTGCAGCCACAGCCCTGTCAAGCTGGGTTGGGCATGAGGGCTACAGAATGTTCTCAGGCACATGACAGCTGTACAGCCCTCTCCTTTCAGAGAGCTAAATGCATCCCAAAATTGTTCCTGGGAGCCAGGCTGGGTCCACCTCAAAGGCAGCTCTGTCCCAGCAAGCAGACTGTGAGGCGGGCACTTTAACATTCTCAGGGGATTTGCCAATCTTTCAGACACATGTTCTTCTGACTAGTAGGACACTCCAAAGGCCTCTGGGAAATACTCGGTTCTACCTCCAAATGCTCAGTAACAGGGTTAAGAAGAACCCGAGATCTCACACCAGAAATGCTTTCTCCTCATCTATCTTTGCCCAACAGGAGCTGGGAATGTGGGACAGGCTGCACGCATCTGCTGGGAGCGGCTTCTGGACCTCAAGAACAGGGCAAGAATAGCCAGGAGGAACCCAGAATAGAACACCACTCCCCTGGAACCCTCTCAGCAGCTTCTTCCCAAGCGCCCCCCACCCCCACCCCACAGCCCACCTGCTGCCACTGCCAAGCCTGCTCTTCCCTCTGCCTCTCCAAGGACTCGCAGGAAGTGCCATGGCTCTTCAGAAGTAACTTCAGAACGAGGCAGGCAGATGGGCTCCAAATGTTTCCAAACACATGTCATTTCTAGGAACTGTCCCTCCCTCAGCCCTGCCCTGCCCTGCTGGGCCTCCACCATCAGGTTTAACTATTCAGGGACTCATCCTCCGGGACCTGGGCTTCTTGGAGCTTGCCAAGTAACTCTCATCAGATCCTGGTCCCAAAAGCCAGCACATGAAGTGGGCTACAACCCGGTCAGCTAGCCCACAGGATTCTCTGTGGCATCACAGCAGCCTTACCTCATCCCACTCAGAGGCAAACGAAGGTGACTTCTCCAGCCTCTTCTTCCCAATGCTGCAGTTGGACAGAGACTCACTGCGACTCCCCATCGTAGTATCCTCCGTGGGGGAGCAGGTCAGGAGGTCAGAGTCAGACTTAGACAAACTGCGGCTGAGTTTGAGCTCAGCTTTGGGCTTGCTGGTGGGAGGGGCTCGGCTTCTGGCGGAGCTCTGCTCGTCTTCTTCCTCGGCACCAGCAGGGTGCAGAGGTACTGTGTGAGTCAAAGTCTGGAGGTGTGCTCGGCTGGCTGGGGCAGTCAGGCCTGCTGGGAAGCCCACTCGCTTGCTTTGGTCCAGGACGCCGGGCTGAGGGTTTCCAGTGCCTTGCACGCCCGGCTCCTCTAGCTGCATGCTGGCCTCGTGGCAGGCGTCTTGCTGGGGGGACTCTGGGTGGGTCTGGCTGGGGGCAGTAAGCAGCTGGAAAGGGTCCTGCCCCACCTCACACACTGGGGAGGAGCCGTGGAGGAGACCTGAGAACTGCTCCGGGACCTGCCCGTCCTGCCCCTCCACAGAGTCCTGGCTCCGGCTGATGCTGCTCCGCCTGTGGTCTTGGAGTGGACAAAGAGAAATAAAAAATTAAACGTGGCAAAACGTTCCTATGCAGCGCGTGATGGCAGAGCAGAGTTCACAACAGGGAGAAAGGGGAGGAAGAGAACAGAAAGAGGGGACGGAGAACAAACAGTTTCATATTGTTCACGTCCAATTTGTACCCACAGTCAGTGCGTTTATGAAATTCCAAACGCTGGCCTCAAACGCTGCCTGGCAGCCATCCCCGTTAGACCTCTGTTAACATTAGCGACCAGACCTTGCTATATAAGGTCAGGAGAAGCGCTAACTACAGACAGAAAGGACACATGTAAGGACAGGGTAAGGACAGAACGAGGGACAGGGAGCAAGAGTGCGCCAGCGAGAGTGACTCCTGGGACACTGGATACATTTCCATAAAGGCCACAGTGTTATTTCGAGCCCCCACCCTCCCTTCCTCTGGCAAGCAGCTCCAGGGGAAAAGGGAGGGCATGGTCACAACCTGCAGCTTCTGGAATTCCTTAACTGAAAGTGCAAAACAAAACGGCGGGGGGGGGCGGGGGCAGGGGGCGGAGAAAGGCAATGACTTCC